GAGAAGTGCCTAAAATGAGATTGGTTTTTTTGTGATTTAAGATAAGATAAAATCTAGAGAAGAAGATAATCAGACTTGTATAAGTTATTCAGATTTATATGCTTAATATCAGTATGAATTCACGTTTGAGTAGTAATATTTTGGTCTTCTTCGTCAGGTAGATCAGTGTTATTTTGTTGCATTTGGAAGCAGTAATACAAATGTAACCTATCGATTTCTCGAAACGTCTTCACTCAATTCTATCACTTTGAAAATCTTGCACATTTCACCTTTTCTTTATTTCCTTTCATAATTTTAATGGTTGTGTTGCGAGAAGTATCATTCTAATAATTCTCATCGATCGATGTTTTATGCCCGTTTTATCATCTCCAAGCCTTTTTTGCGAAGTTTATTTGCCAATTTTCAGCTCAGTATTTTCTTTTACTCTTCACTTGCCTTTTTCTCCTTCTGTGTAATAGTTTTGTTTTTTGAATGACCAGTCCACACTGGTATTTTCATTTTCAGATTGTTCATTTCAGGGGTCTTTTCGGGATATGGTGTATTCACTCATTGTTCGTTTTGCAAAATATAGAAAAAATTTTGAGCGAATTTAGTTTTGTTGTAAGGAGCTACGAACCACTTCATATATGTCTGTAATCATTACCTTTTTTGTTCATCTCATGTTGTAATAACTTCTGTTCTTCTCCGGTTCTGCATGTGTTAAAGGTCACATAGTTTGAGACATGTTATTGCTTCTTCCTCAAAATGTTCGATTCACATTTTTATTATAAATGTAATGTGCAAATCAGCATAGCTGAACAGTCTTCTTTCGTATTTGTTGGATAATATTACTACTTCTCATATTTTATTTTATGTTGAACTTTTGAAGCTTTTCTCAAATTGGTCACACTCTTCTCTATTATAAAGACATTTTTTGGGAATAGTCGAACTCGTCCAGTGAATTGAGAAGGTGCTATTATATCTTCATCTTACATGATTTCAGAATTTTTAAAAAAATCCAAAAACTTCGAATTGTGAAATTTTTTGTCACATACATATAGGCAACACTTTTTCAATCTACTTGCAATATCAGTACCTTAATGACTTCTTTTACCGCAAATATATTTTTCAAATGCAGAATCGGTGATCAGTTTTTCATTTTGTCTAATTTTTCAAATTTCCAATCGGTGTATTCATTCATTTGACAAATCACCGTGTTCATTATCAGTATTTCAGTAATTGTTACCAATCTTGCCAGTGCATAAGGGTTTGTCTTTTTGGTGACGGTTAGTGTGCACTGTAATGTTTACAACCATTCACTCACATTTCCAGAAGAAATCTTCAATGTACGTTATTTGTATTCAATTCAAATTCTGATATAAAAACAATAAACAACTTTAAAAAATTCTTTCATTAAGCACATTTTGGAGCTTTTTTTTATCTTTTAACAATATGGTTTGATTAGTGAGATGATTTAAATTGAATAGTTAGTCGGCTAAGCTAGATAACATTATGTGTTGTTTCTTTCGTTATAAATTTAACACTATATTTATTCTTGACGCTTGATGAATTGTTCATTCTTTATGAGTTGATTTTTCATATATTGCACAATCAATTAGGATGGTGAAAATGGTAGAGAAAGAAGGCTTAATTTCTGAATTCATTCTAATGTTTCCTCGAAATTCACTCATTCATTGATATCTTTGTTCTAAGCAATCTTTCAACAATAAAGAAAAAAATTTTTATTGATCGAATATAAAGATTAATGAATTGTGTTTCGTTTGCCTAGTAGGGTTAGAGCAATCTACCTGAAAAGATGGATTATAGCATACGAATCAACAAATGGTTATAACAATCTAATTTGACAAATTAATTAAACCAATTCTACTAAACAATGATGTATCGCTTTAAAGCGTAACTGGGAATGGAGAGTGACGAATGAAAATGCAAAATGATGAAAGAATGGTAGAAGTATTCCGCGTTATCCAATTAAATAGAGCTATTACACATAATACAAATCATGTGATTTCTTCGAAAGCACTTCCTTACGGAAAATGATCCTTCCTGTTCAGTTACCTAATAATAATCAGAATCAATATCGGTTAAATAAAGAATTCCAGCTACTTTATTACCACTTTGGGTAATTGAAAAAACGACCGAAATAATGTATCGAATTCTAAATGTAATATCAGTGTCATGTTAACCGATAATGCTCAAAATAACGGTTGAAATAAATACACTTAGTAGTGCCTACATTTGTATTTTTTCAACAAAGATGAGTTATAGGGAGAACAAAGATCAGCAATCATTAGATATTGCGTTGAAATTGTAATGAAATGTCCTTCAATTAACTAAGCTGCTGTTATTATTAAGATAAAAGAAATTGATGAATACATCCCAATGTTCTCCAAAATTGTGGGACCTCACTCTTTGACCACCTGCAAGAGCATTTCTTCCTTAAAATCTCATTCATTTAATTTGCACTTCTTGTATTGCCTTATAAGATAATTGAGAATAAAAAAAAAAACAGAAAAATTCGTAGAAGTATTTACATGCGATGAAAGTATTTCGTCTTTCCTGAAAAGCTTGTTGGAGGTATACATTCATAATTTGCATATGTGCAAAAAATAATCTAACATATTTGTATTATTTTAGTTAACAATTTCAGTCAAATAATCATGTATTTTCTTGCTGATTGTCCCTTATAAATTTAGAAATATTAAAAATCGTGTTCAATTTTAAACACGAAACGATAAACAAAAAGAAATCAGTAAATATTAAAGGACCAAACATCAGTTATTTATAATTATTTTGTCCTATTAATCCATGAAAATCCCGGAATCACGTGTGAAAAATGTGGGAAATAAGATTTCATGAAAGTAAGCCAGTGGCTTCTAGCTTGTTAATCATTTCACTGATTTCAATTCATATTTTCTGGACTTAGTCTAAAAAATATTAAAATTATCTGAACTGCAAAATCTCTATTACTGTGAGTAATATCTAAAAGTAACCAATCTGGAATAGATAGAAACTAGATCACGAATAATCGTGCTGCAGTGGACCGTCATTGCCTCGGGAAAACTGACTGCACTGCGGCTGTTGCGATAATGCAACACAATAATAAGCAGGGAGAACGTAAGACTGTGAGGAAGATGTCTGATTCATCATGGCCGATGGCATAGCATTTCCGACGTTATTTTCTTGCATATTCAACATAGAATGTTCCCGCATCATTGTTGCTGGCATTGAACGAGTTTTGAAATAAAGCTGTCCAGGTGATGAAGGCGGTAGTGGATCATCATGCTCAGATATAAAAAGCAGACTGGAATCCTGGCCCTTATATTGTGAAACATGAACTAAATTAGTTCCGAACGATTCTCCATTTGAATGAAACTGTTGCACAGGTTCCAACGGATCTTTATGTTTCAACGGTTTCTCAATTTCTGTTGCTTTCTGCAAAACATGATTAAAAAATTCTTGCCAAAATCTGAATTTTAGATGATCAAGTAAACTGAGCGATAGCACACAAGATTCCGGTTTCCTATTGTTCTGACCAAGTGTGATATGGAATGCGCTTTAGAGCAATTATATTAATATGATAGTTTTATAAAATTCGCCTGAACCAAATGTACCTTTTAAGTATGAACATAATGCAAATAAGATTTGAATTTAACAGGTGAAAATATTTCATAAAAAACTAACTTCGAAATAATCTTGCAAAACTTTGCTCTGTCGGAGAACTGGATGAGCAAGTACGTAATTTAAGAATGTTGTTATCGATGATGTCCGTTCACCCACAATTTGGGCACTTTGGTTTCCAAAAATAACTGCTTCTGCAAACTGCGGAAATGAACCATGCAAGTGCAACTGAAAAATAGATATTAGAATGTATTAAATATAATGTCCATTAAAATGTTTCTGGTTTTCTGCATAAATTATTCTTTGTAAGTCAAAAAAGGGTAAATTTCAAATTAAACAAATCATTACACTACAGCCAGGATTAAGTATTCAAAAGCTTTGACATTCAAGAAGTGACCAACTTTAAAGGTTGATGGAGCAAAGGAATTGGAGAAGTCAATACCTTTTTGTGCAAGTCAGCCAGTTGTTCCCAAAGACGTTTCACATCTCTAAAACGCGTCCACATATCGAAGCATCGCATATCCCCTGCAAGGGAATTAGGTATCGCCTGCAAAATAAGCTAACAGATAACAGTGAGAAAGAATTAATCAAAGGATAACAGATTATTTTTCTTAATCTTAAGCACTCTTCCTATCATAGCTACAAATTCAGCTTTTTGTTTATATTTTCTATTCAGTTTAACATAATCCTTCGCTGTTCATCAAGATCTTCTGCGCAGTAGTCATAGATACATTATATGATCGTACTGAGAGAAAACCATCTCTACCTATGCATAAATTCAATTCAATAATTCCAGAAGATAAATTTCGCGATCTCCTTACTTAACATAGTAATTGTCCTAACTGATTTCTTTCAGGTAAAATTGTGATAAAGAAGCACTTACACTAATTGACATTTGATATTCGGTATGAGAAGTGAAGAAATTCGACAGAGTGTTCGTAGAAACGATATCCATATGAACAGTCCATTCGGTCGGATTTGAATAAAGAATGCGACCCAAGTCATTTCTGCAAGCGCTTGCATCTCTCAGTAACACTGGCATAACGTCCGATTGCGATTATTCTAGAAAATAAAAACAAGTTCATTTTTTGCAAAATTACCATGTTCACCTTCAAATTATTCAAACAAGAAAAGAATATGAAGATATTAAAAATATTTGAAAACTGAAAATGAAGGCGGTCCTGAATCGACGCAAACTGAATATAGTTAAGTATTATAGTCTGAAAAAGTCAATTCGGAAATGCTAAGTATCATAAATTATTAAAAAAAAAAGATTAATTAATCTTTTGCAAGAACTGGAAATACCACAAAATGTCATAAAACACTGTGCAGTTTATGTACATACAATTTTTTCAAATACTAAGAAAAAATATGGCGAAATGATGCCACTATTTTTGTAACATACAATCATATCTCAAAAACTGAAATAGTTGAGAACCAAAAAATTGGAAATACCGGAAGTAAAAACTGAGCACTGCGCAAAATAAAAATTACAGTGGATTTGTTAAAATTGTAGGTAAAATTAATCACTACACACGCTAATGAGAATACAATGATTGTCACAAATGAAAATTGGGATAATAGAAATAAAACTTTTTACAGCAAAATAAATCTAATTTCAATAAATAATTAAATCACACTTAAGTAAAACCAGTAGATCAACATAGATCAACACATTTCTGCAAAAAAATGAACAGCATGGTATGAATGAAACAAGGTAGAAATACGCATTTGCTAAAAAAATATGCATTATACCAATAAAAGCTTGCAATGCAGTTAGACTTAACAATATTATTATATAAACAAAAAACGAATTAAAACAAAACAAAGAAGAAAAAACATAAAAGCATTAAAAAGAACAGAAGTATGGTAATGTAAACGGCAGTGTAACTGCCAATAATTTACGAGAGAAAGATGAATGACATCTTGAAATTCATGCATTTACTATCATAATTTATTTGTTATAAATTCATTCTTTTATAGCTTATCTCTCTTTATTTTTCCAATTTAATTGTTCTTGAATCATTTTACTATAGCAAAGACAGAATTGTTTGAAAAATTTCCAGTTCTGTCCTTTCAAACTTTTTTTAATAACTGAAACGCAGACTGTTAATCAGTTTAGCAATGCTGCAGAATTAGATTATCATTTTGTTATAATATTTACCTCTTCTAGAATTCCTAAACAAAGCAGTCACATTATTCTTGTGCATTAAAAGTATAATCATTGTCTTTTCTATTTACCAAAATCGATTAGGAAGACGAATGATATTAATTCTAATAAATATGAAATTCTAATAATGGTTATTGCTGGATTATCGATCAATTTCTCCGAAAACAAGATCCAGAGTACCAATAACTGCCACAACATCCGACAACATGGACAAATGGCATATATCATCAATTGCAGCGAGGTGTGGAAATCTGAAAAAGCAAAAATAAGCACACAGAAATATGCTCAATAAAAACAAAACATTGAAATTTGTGAAACTTCTCAAAAAAATACCCAGGTGATCGAGCAAAACATCGATAAGGCCTTGATTCACCCTGTGACACCAAATAGACACCAAATTCCCCTTTGGGGGCTTCAACTGGAACATAAGTAGCACCAGGTGGTACCTGATAACCTTCGGTGTAATATTTAAAGTGGTGTATTAGCGATTCCATACTTTGCTGGAACATTATGGTCTAATCAATTCAAGTAATTTAATCTAATCAAAAAAAAGAACCGCTCTTTGTAGCTTAGATGATTGGTATCTGTTATTATCTCTATATAAGTATTCGCGCAATTTAAAATAAATTTATTACTGGTCACGGCATGCTTAAAACAAACTTTATGCAGAAAATAAAACTGATAATTCAATATTACCTTCATTTCAGCACGTTTAGGAGGAACCACTTTATGATCATCAGTTTTAATTTCACCAGGTGGCATCTTATTTAAACATTCAAAGATAATTTTCACACTTTCACGCATTTCTTCCATTCTTATTAAATATCTGCAACGGTAACATCAAAAATATGTGCTATACAATATCGGCAGAATTTCGAATACGCTGGACATCTTTACCTATCATAACAGTCTCCTTTTACGCCGATAGGAACGTCGAAATCCACTTGATCGTACGCATCATATGGCTGTGCTTTACGTATATCCCATTTAATACCAGATCCACGAAGCATAACACCAGAAAAGCCCCAAAGCAAAGCATCCTCAGCTCTAACAAGTCCAATGTCAACAGTTCTTGACTAAACACACTAAGAAATTAGGTATAATAATCATAAATCTTACGTGTTTCTATAGTTCAAATAAACACAATCGAGTGTATTCGACGTCATTATGGATAATCAACAGATATTAATTCCCCTACAAAATAAAAAAATTACTGTGAAGATGCGGTTGCCTGTTAACAGATCTTCCACCATATCTAATCTCTGCGGAAACCTCACTGCCCAGTCGTATACATCATCCATCCAACCAAGTGGTAAATCCCATGCAACACCTCCTGGACGCACGTAATTTGCATGCATTCTAGCTCCGCATACCCGTTCACTGAAATTTAAAAACCATAATGATGTTATACACAAAAAATGAAAGTTCAAAATTGCAGAAAATTTATTACTTCAGCTTGATCGAACTATCTGTGATTTTTCTGGAATGTACCAAAGTAAGATAGGAAGCAAAGCAAAATGCACCACAACCTTTTATATTGAAACTTCAATCTAAAGCCTAAAACTATATTTAAAGAAATAAACAAGGTTAAAACTAAAAGTAACTAATTTGCTTACGTAAATTCAAACATCTTTTCACGTTCTTCAAACATCCAAAATAAAGGAGTCATTGCACCAAGATCCAAAGCATGTGTTGTAATGCCCATTAAATGATTCTGTATCCGAGTCAGTTCATTCATCAGAGCTGCAAATAATACCATTCGATTATTAGTACTAGCATTAACCAAAAAATTGTTGCCAACAGTGAAGAAGATCAACAAATATAATCTTACTAATAGAATATGGATACACATTGGCGAGAAATTATCTTGTATATATGCAAATTAAGATTTAACAATAAATCGAATTCTTGAAATGCGATAATCTAGAGCAGTAAAACTTAAATGATTTATATGAGTTCTAGCAATATCAAAAAGGATATCTGCAGGCCCTAGGATAGAGTACGGATTGATATTTCAGATAATAATAAACTATCTATTCATTTAAAAAAATCAACAAGAAAAACCCAAAATTCTTTTAATAAAAGAGACTTCTGATAAATTTAGCTCTTGGTGGAATATCAATTCCTAATAATTTCTCAACAGCAAGTGCAAATGCTGTTTCATTGCACATCATCGACACGTAATCCATGCGATCGAAATATGGTACTGCTTGGGTATAAGTCTTGTATTCAATCAGTTTTTCTGTGCCACGGTGCAGAAGACCGATATGTGGAGTTGCTTTCATTACCATCTAGAAACAAAAATAAACGTTGTTAAAATTCATTGAATTCTGAATCCTAATTCGGGTTACGGATATGTGCAAGATTGAAATCTCAACCATACTTCATGGTCCAATTCGAGTACGAGACGAAGAACTCCATGTGCAGCTGGATGTTGTGGCCCAAAATTCAGTAGATAGTAATGTAATGGCTTTTCATGCATTTCTGTTAAATCAGGCAGAACTGGCTCCCAACTTGCTTTTTCAAATATTTTATCAATTCCAACATTCTTGTCATACTCTGTCGGCTTTGGATTCCATATCCGTCCAACGACACTTGCTTTCTGAAAAATAAATTCAACAAGTAAAAACTTTATATATTAAAATTTCAAGAGATGTTCCGTAAAAAATTTAAGCCTCTCCAGATAAATGTGAATATCATCTAGCTTTTTCTAGGTAAAATTAAACAGACTGAAATCATGCAGCTCACATTATATCTAAAAGCTCTTCTCCAAATTTCCTTTAAAATATGATAACCTTAAATTCACGCATAAATTCGGCATCAGGATACCACAGATTATGCGAACCACGTTTCCCAAATAACAGAGTGTTTGGTAGTGATCGAGTTATTTGCGCTAGTAAGAATCTAGCTTGTCCCACTGCATTCATTCTCCAACTGATGACCTGTAATTCATTTATTTACATGGTTCGTGCTAATTAAGCTAACATAATACAATACATTTTGCAAATTCGCATATTTAATAACAATGTCGTTTCCATCGCTCGACCCAAGAATACTGCCTTCAATTATATGAACTGCTATAACCTGATAAAAGAGCAATTCATCTCAATATAAGGCGATATTTCCTAAACGCTTCTCATCTTCATGAAATTGCGTGTATTCTCTGTTTTGTCTTTTACGAATTATTTTCTGCACATTAGAATCATGTGTTTCCATTGTTCTTTTTTTTTTTCCGACACTTGCAATTAAATTAAAAATCAACATTTCAACTAATTCATCGTTTCCTGGTAAAAAACATCAATACCTTCGCAGCATTTCTTCTCCTTGGAGCATTTAAAACAAAAAATCTTCACTCTTGGAAAAGTGAAATATTTTGATGAAAAAATATTCCATTATATGTGTTTGTTCCCAATAATGAATGATTGACAAAGAATATGACGCAATTTGTACTTTGCGTGATATGCGTAATAAATTCTCGAATAACTTTTGTGCGAGAACAAAAAAAAAAAAGCAATTATACATTAAGCGTTGGTAATGTCACTAATGCAGATGAGATCAGAGAGCTCACCGATCATACACCTCTCCTCTCCCTCACCGACAACACAACACGGCCAATCTTCGTGATATGCAAATTATCAAACTTTGGACTGTGGCCTGTTTCGTTAGGTGTGGGTGCAGCATAGTTTTTTTCTCTTCTAAATTGAAAGAATAAGCAGCAAGAATGGGTCATCAAAAAGTTCTTAATGAAATAAAATTATCAGTTAAGCGAAATATTTTTCCATAAGCTTTTGTTTCTTTCCAAACTTCATATTTTGTATGCATTACGTGCGTAAACGTCTCTAATTGTATCCATTTAAATAGCCACTAGTTTTAATTTCAGATTTGAGAGGTAAAAAAAAAAAGCAAATAGACTACAAGTGTGTCAAAAAAAAAAAGAATTGTTCTTATATATTGATTTTTGCACGAATTCCGAATCAGAGGTTTGTCATTCATTTCATTTATGGATTGATTTAGTAATTTATTTTTACAAGCAAACGGAATAAAAATTATAGGAGTAATATAGAGTTTATATTTATTGAAATTTAGAAACAGTAATGTTAAGTTTTTAAACTAATTCAAGAAAGGTAGGAAAAGAAGAGATCATTTGATCATATTTTTATTAAGATTATTTATCAGTTCTACATAATCTAGCACTTGGCATATAAAGCATGTATGCGAAACTGATTTTAGTCTGTCCTGCATATTCTTGTCTGAAATATTAAGTTAGTATAGAATATATCAATATAGATATTCTGGTTGTTGAAGATTTTTGGAATTTTTAGCATACCTAGTTACTTCTAATTTCAAAGTGACAAAATGGGACTGAGGCTTGACAGTGTCAATGTTATTAATTATCATTAATTTTGGTCATTAAAACATAAGATTTAGAAACTTATATCATTAAGTGACAAGTGCACAAGACGACTAATCATTATTTTAGAACTTCATTCTTGTTTATATCAGTTCAAGTCACATTCTCTTCTTTGCGATATTGCAGAGAATGGAATGAACATAGAAAGTTCACTCAATGATGTAAGTCTCTAAATAGAAAGTTCACTCATTTTCATGATTACTGTATTCAATCACTTTCATGATTACTGTGAACTGCAGATGTCTTCAAAAATGAAATGACGATTTCCATATGGCATGCATTTATTGGTGACATCATAGATGACCATATCGGTTGCACCTGTCAAAGATTGTTATTGTCGTTCTAGAAACAGTAATTATGACATACAAAATATGGCTATTTATGATTGTAGTATAGAAGTCTTAATGAAATGATGTAGCATTTTTTTTGAAGAGAGAAGTACATGTATTACATATAATTCACAATGAGAAGGATGAAAGTAGAAGAATCGTAGATTGAGAAGGAATGCATCGATTGTTGAAATGAAGTAAATGACCAAAATGTGTACAATCTCGCAGAAAAAGATGAAATGCAGGGTGGATAGATGATGTAAACATCTTCTGAAGAAAGTATTCACATACTCTATGGTACTATCTTAACTAGCTTTGTTCCTTATTTTCTACTTCTTTATAAAGTATCACACTTCAGTATATAGCGAACTTCTCTGATGGTTTCACTCTCCTCTTGCTCAGTTCTTGTGGACTGTGGTCATTCGCTTCAAATCGCAATCGATATATTATGTGGCGGTGTCCATGGAGCTATAGCTTCAATTGAACATTAACCTCAGTTTTTTGCCTCCATTTTTCTTTTTCTCTCTTCTGATATGACACGTCTTTTAGTGAGGGATTTGTTTTGATGACAATATTTTAATGGTTTAATATACATATATGTATATATATAGTAACTTATTATACCTGTACTTAATTTAACGATTTCTCGCTGTACACAGTTCACATTATATTTCAACACATTATACTTAAAACACATTATACTTAAAATGCATTTATCTTTAAAATTTCGTACAGTGATAATCACATCTACATCATCTTCAGTTATCATTCGAACTTCATTTTTATAGTTTTAATAACATGCCATCTTGTCATTTTGTTTTCTTTAGCTATTAAGATTATTATTCTTGAATAGTTGCTGTTTAGAAGAGCCACAATTGACTCGACGTAAATAGAACTTAAAACATATCTGATTATGATGGAATATAGAGTAAACATTGTAATAAGCTTTCATAATTTAAAACAGTTATCAAGTTTTGTCGCTAATTTCGATTTTATTGCAGTGAAATACAGGTTTTAGACATCAACAATCTTTTATTTATATGCAAAGTACCTGATCGAATTGTTAATAAAGAGTCCACTAACAAGGTAATAGAGCTCCTATGCCTTAAAAGTAAATTTTGTTTTATATTTCAATTTGTTGGGATCATCAAGTGTAATGTGATTTGTGGAGGATTTTGGATGTGGGAACATTTAATTCAGTTTATTTGATGAAAGCTTGGACTTCTCACGTCCTTTCACTAATTTTCAGTGAAAATTTCAATCCCAAGTGCTAAACATTATTTTCATATGAAATGGAAGCGAGCACTGTGGGAACTGCTATACCTCATGGTAAGGATTATATGGGATACAGTTTTGTTATTGAGTTCTTTTATAAATAAGTTTAACTTTCAATTGCGATAAAATGCTACCACACGAAAATAGGAATAGATTGCAACAGCTTATGTGGAACTACGAATTTATTGTCGCGTTTACGGAATTAATTGCTTATCACTCATAATTATTTCTAATCTTTTTTTTCCAGAGCCATCTTCAGCGTTTGATCCAGATCGCGAAATGAAGGATCGTAAATTGGTCCAAATATTCAAAAAATTACACATGGAACAGGTGAGATAATGCTTTTTTTCAGAAACTTCTCAAAATTTGTCGATAGACAGGTATATTCAAAGTAAATAATTCTAAAATATCTGTATGATTTGGATATTTCTTATTTAAATTTGAAATGTAAACCGTGAGCACGTTTGTAATGGTATTGCCGAGAACCCATATCAAAATTGTACTATTTCCACATCATTTGTTCTGCTTTTACTTAACTTTGTAAATATCAGTTCTTATAATCGAAGATATATACGAAATGAAGCTGTAAATATTCTGTTGTTAGGTGTATTCCATCTTCTTGCAACAATAATGACAGAATTTATTCTTGTATATCGCATGTTAAAGATTATCATTTCTAAAAGCTTTTCACTAAGACCTGCTGAACTTGCAGTTCGGAAGGAAGTAAGGTAGGTTTGGAGTGAACGATATATGTATATAGCATATAGCTTTCAAGTAAGTGCTGAAATGGGAGTGTCTGCTTTCTTTTAGGATTTGAATACGCTGTTGGATTTTGATGACACTGTTTCTCGCCCATCAAAAGCCGCCTTAAATCATACAGAGGAATTAAGCACGGACAAAGTTGAACGTTGTCGACCACGTAAAATACTCGATTACGCTGTACTAGCGAAAGGACAAGGTGAATGCTGTTTTTGTCTTCCAGTTATCATTAACTTTGCTAGAATTAGTAGGCGGAAACTCACTATATAATCTATTACTTCACTTCTGTTTTTTGTCGAGAAATTATGGAAGAAAAGTGAAAAGGTTAGCAATGCGTACTTTTGCGTTGATCAACTTCAATAAATTGATGAACTTTAAGTATAATATCCACAGTATCTGTTATAACGTGAAACAACTTTTTTTTTTCCAGGCTATCATAATAATCTTGTGGGGTCTTTTGCAAGTAGCTATTCAGATACAGGTGGATCCAATAAAAGTGCTGCTGGCTCCAAACGAATACGCTTTCAAAAAGATCGATTTGATAATAACAGCTCAACGCCCAGTGTCAAACGGCGTTCGCGTGGCCAACATACGTCCGTCCAAAAAAAGAATGTCAGATCGCGGCGATTTACATTTCCACCGGCAGCAAATGGTGCCAGGAAAAAAGAAGCATCAAGGTCACGAAGTTTTGCTTGTGGAACCAAAGGAGGTATCCTAAAAAGACGTGTGAAGGATGCAAACAATATCAAGCAAACATTTCTCATTTCGAAAAAAGTACTAGACATTCAAAATCAGCATTTTAAAGAATTCATGCTTCCTGAAAAATGGATCAAGGAATCACAGAAAAGAAAAAAAGTGAAGAAAATGAAATCTGGAGGAGAAGAGAGCACCAGTAGTGTATCTGTTGAGGATTTGGCAATGGAGCGCCTCGTAAGAGCTTTTAAAACCGCAAAACTTTTATATCCCGAAAAATTTGCTGAGTATTTTCCAGACTTCATGCATTGTTTTCAATCAGATGATAACAAAGAAAAGCAGGGTAACAAAAATGGTGTTATGCTGAAGCAAACGCAGATTAAAACCATCAAAAGAGAAGAAGATGCTGTAACATCCGACAAAAATATTGCATCGGAATCTAGCGATGATCTGCCAAGAAGAATTCGTAAGATGCCGAAAATTTTACGAGAATACTCAACAGGTGTTGAAATAGCAAGCAAAAAGTTAGCTAGTTTGAAGAAACAAATACCATCAGTGACACAAAAGATTCCGCGTATTCGTGGTCCTTTAGCGGGTACCTCGGGACTTCGTAAGCGATCTAAAACATCAACAGATTCATCGCCGAATCAATCAATGCTTTTTAAATCTCAGCAAAATGAAAAAGCAGAAAGTGCCAAAGAAGTGGAAGATTCAGAAGGGATGGACGGAGTTCCGACACTGAAGAGACGAAAGCGTGCTAAGAGTGGTGCTAAGATTTCGTTACCTAGTGCAACACTGAAAGCTGCAAGTGTAAGTGCAGCGCTTATCCAGAACAACATTGAAGATAGTGCAACAGAATCTTCATCTGATGAGTCAGGCAACGTGCGTTCATCAAAGAGACAACGAGCTCAAAGTGGTTTTTACAAGTAAGTATTCTCATGTCGTTCCAATTTTTGGTTTTACCCAAAGGAAATCTCAAAAAATAAGGTGATCTTTATGGGAGCTATAAAGATTTGTCTA